TCGGCCATTGCGACTGTTGGAGCGCCGCGAGCAAAAAGGCATACTAATGCTTTTCATAGGGGATGAAGTGGCAGACTATCTTATCAACTGGTATGATGCTTCTAGTATTTCTACTAGTAGATGCTGATGCATAGCCTGACAATTGACATCTCGCAGGACATCGAAATGTTAAAAATACCAGTCGCTAACATTGGAAAAGGATAGAACGTGAACTAGTTGGGCTGAAACGCAAACTGGTAGAATTCTAGTTCACAACTAGTAGCTTTTCCAGCAGGGTGCCTAAGGCTATTCACTCAAAAGATAATACAATACAATAATTTTTAGACCAATTTCCCCCCACACTCTTGTTGGCCTTGGTACAACATATCAAATGGCTGAAAATTTTTAAAATCGGACAATAACCACGCCCACATCCCATATAACGATAATTTGGAGAAATACGAAATCTTCGATAAATCAGTAAATACCGAAGATAATTTATTCAAAACTGATATTTACAATAATTCTTTAGCGCACAATATTTACGTTTCTAACAAAATTTTCGAAAATGGGCGTGGCACCGCCCACTTACGACCACATATGTGTACCTCGGTAACCGTTCGAGCAATTTATACCAAACTCGGAATGATTATTAGGCTTGCCATACAAGACAAAAGGCGGAAAATTATTGAAATCGGACTAAAATTAGACTAATTTTTATATAACGGTAAATTTCAGAAATGCTTGAAACTTTGATAAATATTTCGAAATTTAAGGATGCTAATTTACACAAAATTGATACTTACAACATTCCCTTGAAAAAAAAAAAAATATTATTATGGAATTTTGGAAAATGTTTGAAATAGGGATAAAACCACCCCTGCTCCATGTAGCTTTAGTTTTCGGAAAGGTGAAAAAAAACTATATTTAATATTTGCGCCGGGTATCTAATATTCGGCTCCGTCCGAACTTAGACTTTTTTACTTGTTATCATTACCTTTATCCTTTTCTTCATGTACATAACCCTGGTGAAATTAAACCAGGTGTAGTAATAAGAGCGAGAAGAAAGATTTGACACTATCTTGTTTTGAAATTTGCCATGAAAAATTTCTATAAGATAGTCGAATGTCAAGAAAATAAAGAGAGAAAGCTGTTTTATTACTTCACCTGTTTATTTCGCCATGCCGTAGCATTATATATAGTTTTTTCTTGAAAGGGATGTATTAAAGAAAACATGTTTGCCCTTTTATATTTAAGGTGAATAAAAATTCAGACATTTCGTGAACTATGTAGTGGCAGAAAATAAATTACAAATTTATGAATTTATGTGCCGTTCTTTATAGTAGTTTTTAAGTTTTTTTTAATGTGTTTGAACGGCAGATAAATTTTAAAACCTACTTGAGAAAACGGCCCTAAATGATATAACAAATGTTATGCTTTTAAAAACAAGCCAGTAAAGGTATTATTGTTCTAAACGTTATCGAAAATAAAAGTTAGCGATCACAAATTACTTCATTCAAATATTTGAATGCTAATTTATTCTTGAACATTTTATTAACTGAATAATAAACCAACCTACTCAACAGATAACTACAGTTTATGTAACAACCAGTGTTGCCATGTTTTCGGCATGAGAAAACGTCCCTCTTGGTCTGAAAAAAACGTCATTTCCTACCCAAAAACGTCTTTTCCATGTATGCACACAGAATTGTTCTTATTAAACTTTTATTGTATACAAAGGTACATATGTACGTAAGGTATATTAAAATGTCATTTCACAGAGCACATTTAAAATTCATTTTATTTTATTTTATTTTATTTTATTTTATTTTATTTTATTTTATTTTATTTTATTTTATTTTATTTTATTTTATTTTATTT